CTGGCCGTTAAAAGTGGGCGGACACCGGTCGTTGGTGTGCCCGTTGCGCTTGATTTTCCCGTGATGACCACCCATGTTCACGTGGTGCGTGTGCGAGGACAACAGACGAACCCGATGGAAAAACTTGGCCACACCTGATGAAGGGGGGACACGATAAATATCGCGGGATATTATTCAGTAGGTGAAATCAAGTTGCAAGGTCGTGTGTGCACCATGCAGCCGCGTGTTAATGGGGTCCCGTTTATGTATGCCCGGTGTTCACTCTCCGGACTACCGACACTGCGCCGTCTTTACTAACACGTGTACAAGATCAACAGCTAGGCTTTCATCAGCGTCTCATGGCGCGCTCCGCTGTCGCAGCTCACTGAATTGACGACCCCGTTTCCCAAGTTAAAGAAAAATGCTGAAAAGCTGCATTTGTAGTATCACCATCCTCAAGTGGCATTCCGGTGATTATAGACCAGTGGATATTCCAGATTGACGCAGCAGAATTGGAGCAGTTGTCAGTTCCTCCTTTTGATGAGGCGCATTATGTATGTCCAGCTGTGAACTGACTGTGCCAAAGTTGGCGACGGGTGAATTGTGATAAAGAGCGCGGTTGCACACAGTCTGTGCACAGGAAATAAGACCTTGGGGGGTCCATCATTGCGCATGTCAGGATGTGGTCTGGCGCTCATCGGCGCAGCGAGATTGAGTGTGTTCCCGCAACGAGAGGCAGTGCCGTTTCCGTTTCATGGTTCATGTTGCAGATCATACCGCATTAAATTATTTAAAGAGGCATTTCCAAATGCACTTCGCGAGTTTTTAAAACCAGTGTCCGAGATGAGTTGTCCAGGAATCGATTGTGTTTGAATTCCTGAAACGCAAAAGCAATACTGGGACATTGTTTCCGTGCAGGTTTTTAGATACTTAAAATTGGTAGTTGTTATTACTGCACGCTATCTGTTTCCATCTGAAACTGTGGGCGGAAGGTTCCGACTTCACCAAAGAAGTCTGATTTACTTGGAAAGTTGCGATGTTGCTCAGTAAAACACGAGAAAACTCAACATAATGCCTCAGGCACCCCTTGGAACAGTACTGAGAATTGCTTCCGACAATCTGGACTATGTGTATCTGACCGTATACAGAAATTTCCCCACACCGATGTTGGCCTACACTCCATCAACCTGCATCGTAGTATAAATGCAAATTAAGCGTCTGGTCATTATTTACGATTGGATGCAGGCAATCCCTTCATTTGCCATACTTTTCGCTTACATCTACAATATATTAAGAAGAGAATCGTTGGGTCGCCAAGATTTTTTTTTTGGGGGGGGGGGCTAGCATACCCTTTCCCACCCCTAACGGTGGAAGGGCCAGGGATGAATATTTCTGTTCATTTCTGTTTCTGTGCATTTGTGATTTTTGGGTTACAATCAACACATTTTGGTGTTATCAGATGACCACACCATATGGTGTTACTTTAACACCGCTGGTGTTACTCAAGTTGCATACCAATAAGTGTTACAATGTACTGGAGGGTGTCAAGGTAACACAAAATAACACCAAAAGTGTTGGTGTAGTCCTCTGATTAACACCGGAGGTGACAAATTTAACACCCCAGTTTTTGCAATGCTTGTGTCCATTTTTCGCTTCTTCCACTTTTTTCTTTCTTTTTCTCCCCCCCCTTCTAATTCTTTTCCGGGATGGGAGGGGGACAGGCATACCCGTTTCCCCTCCCACGACTGCCATGGGAGAACTCCACGTGACCCTTCCCTGGGTATGATGGATTACAATACAAGTTTACTTTTATTACCGCGGATGCAGCGTCTGTCTCCCAAATTCCAATCTTTATTTCCGATGATATTTGAGGACTTCCTCCGATACTTGGAATTTGGTGCTTGTCATAAAATGTCAGGAGCTGACCTAAGTTGTTCGCATGTGACATAAATGTCGGCTTTGCTCTCAAAAACCAATAAATCTAGAGGCTGGAACACCCGAATGGCACCTACTTATCGACGATGGAGGATTGAAGATGCTGCCCTCAGTCGACCAAGGGTGACATGCTAGGCATGAGTCGTTATTTAACTGATGTGCTTTTCATTAGTACATGCATTATGTACAGTATTTTCTTTAAATGAAAAAACCATGTGTGATTAGCCAAACTGGAAAGAGTTCAGTAGACTACGATGTGTCATTTCCAACCCAGTTTGTGGAATTTATAAATAGCTTTAATTCTCACCATCCTATTCCTGTCCCTCTCAGGTACCGCGGACCCACCATTCTGCATTTTCGCGAGGTATGTTTTGCATTTTGGACTAAGTCATCCAAGAGTTTCGGGAACCCTTCGATGATGAAAACTTGTATGCCATAGGAAATGGAACATATCCGCGGGAAGCTGTGAATTTTGCTGGGAGCCATTCATAATGGAACAAGAATGAGTTGGGATGATGCACGGACTGCCGTTTCCTGGATACTCAGGACCTGCAGTACTGAATCCTAACGTCACAAAAATTGCATGGTTGCAGAAGCACCGCCCTTCGAGGGTCTGTTATATCAAATCCAGCAAAAAGCATGACAAAACAGCCAATATCCAACAGAAGTCCACGAAATGTAGCGGAAGTTATGCCCGGATCATCTGAATGTTCCTTGCGACCCGTGATGCATCGGGGACGTTGCATAGTGTAAATACCTTCAACCATCCTCATACGGTCCTCCAATTTCGTTTTTTTTAATTTTTACATACACCCTTGGGATAGGGTTAGGGTTAAGGCCGATTTATGATTGAAATTGCTAGAAAATGGCTTAGCTTGCAACGCGATGGTGTACGCATTTTACGAACAGGTTTGTTCAATTAATTAACAAGTAGCGCCCCTAATGTCAAAACGATGTCAACCGCCAACGAAAGTTCTGTCAGCCATGCTTATGGTTGTCACGAGAGGGCAGCATAATGCAAATACAATAAAAGCTTCATCTGGCTAGTCAAACTCTGTGTGAGGGAAAAGTGCTCGAAATATTTGTAAATTGAGAATAAATCTTGGTCGGTTTGAATACAACATTTACCCCTACTCTTTTCAATCCTGAGATATTTCGTCTTCTATTGATCCTGTCCCCCACGGTGTGTGCAAAACGGTGTTAAAACTGGAGGACTCGTGATTAATTGAGCGAGTCAACATAGAAGACTTACAAAGCGGCATTACAACCTGGAAAGACGTAAGCGGTAAGGACACTAAAGAAACCCTGGTTCTTGGCGCCTGCTTCGATGAGATAAGCCGCGTTTCCTCCATGTCCCACGCATGGGAACGCCCGTCGAACCGTTGCTTCTATTCAGCTTATGCATTTCAGAAAAAAGTGGCAAGTGAGCTCCGGCAAATTTTTCGTCAACACAACAAAACAACGATATACAATCAAGCCTTTCTTGAAGGCGTTTTAACTGGGAGCCAAATAAATCTAGCTGGTCTTGATATGAGTGGTATTTCGGTAAGAGTCGAACTCACCGGCTTAAAAGGACCAAAACTGTCGAGGCTTGTTGACCGTCGGAAAACATGACGCACTTGACCATTATCCAGTTGACGGCGTTGAAAAAAATTGGAAGAGGGTAGGCAAATAATCACTATGTATGTTAACAAAGGTCTTTCATTGATCATTATTTTCCTGCATCTGTGTGTTAACCGTCTTGAATGCGTGCATTTCTGTGCAAGTATACCAGTGCGATGGTAACATTAGGCTCCTTTAAGCAGACCTTTTTATTCCGAGTTTACTTTTGAAAAACTATCGATGAAAACGGATATCTTTGACCATTGTCATCCAGCGTTATATTCGAGTCCATCACAAGTCATTCAGTCAAAGCCAATTCACATGCTTTTCAATTGAGCTGTGATAAAAGCATTCTTTTGTCATGGTTCACCCTGTTACTTATGACTTGCCCTGTGAAGGAACTTGTCACTGGATTTGTGAAGGGACTTATAATATGAAAAGACTTGTGATGGATTCGAATACAACACTGTTGTCATTTCAAGTTTACGATTTGCATCAGGGTCAATCATCAGCTAAAACTCAGTATCCACTGATGGAAACTTGATTCAAAACAATGTGCAGTAACTGTATTCATGCTGGCCGCTGTGCATGTTGAAAAAAAAAATCTGCTTGTAAATTTGGAGTTCCGCCGCCCAGAATCGCAGCATCTCTTAAGCAAACACTTCAGTATGGCTTCCATCTTGAGCGAATGGACAGTTCGTGATCACTGCATCGGATATTACGTGCATGTTGCACTGAGCGAAACTGTTCAAACAGGGTATAATTAGTGTTGTAGTACTCGTTTAACAGAAGCACGACTTTGGCAAAATATCGCAGGCACACTTTTGATTGTCTGGATAGATAGGACAAAACTTAACCAACATGCCTATATCATGATGCACTTGTTTGCAATCCATGCACACTAAAAACTCCCAGGTCAGATCGGCATGACCCTTTTCGGGTCAAATTATGACCCAGAAAAGGTCAAGTATGACCCGCAGCCGACTGTATGTGGAGCCCGGCAACTACTTCCTTTTTAATTAAAAGTGTCGTAAACATCCACTTTAGTTATCGGTAGGGTACGGTAACTAGACCGACTAGCGATTAAAAAGCTGCAGTGTGTGTAAAGCGTATAAGAATACATTCTGCGCAATCTTCTTCAAAAGGCCTAGGCGGCCTTGAATAACTTTATTTATTTCTAGCTTTGCAAACAGGGAAGGCGTCACTGGTCGCTAGGGGCAACAGCGGAATTCAACTCGAGGAAACGATTGCTACTAGGTAGTCTCTCATTCCATGTCCATTTACTTGTGATTGTATCCGCTGTTTGCAGTGTTCATATAGAAGCAAATCTGGAGTCGGCCAACGCGACTGAAAGGGAAGACTATGTTGGATGAGAGCCGCTATCTTTTGTTGGTATCTCTCAGTACGCTAGGTAGTTTTGTAAGCATAACTGCAGTTGTCATTGTTGGATGCAGTATTGACTCTCGTATAGTACGTGACGGGTGGTAAGGTTGCCCCACCTGGACTCAATTGCCAACGCTTTGACTATCATTAAAGTGCGGCATTCGCAAACAATTTCGGGAGTGTCGCCTGTTTTCCCAGACAAACACTGGCCATGAGTGCGTTTACAGAAACGCACTGTGTTGTGGGTTACTGTTTTCACGTGTAACTGCGATGGTAATGGATTTTGGAAAAACATCTGCATTGTTACCCGAACTATGGTGAATTTTCTCCGTATAATGACCGCGTGCGCGTGTTGGTGAATACAGCCGCGCCAGTTCGCCGTGGCCTTAATGATGTTTACGTGCAATAAAACGGACCATCACATCACCACCAAGAGCGAAGCTCTAGATTTCCCGTCTTGACATCGTGAGGCATCAGAAATACTACCTCAGCAAGCTGTAAGCCGCCTGCATAATCAAGAAGCACGTCCTGTCTGGTAAGTATGAGCGACTTCTTTGTCTCGCATTATTCCTGAGTGATAAACAGAAATAAATAAAATGCATCAATATCAAATTATTTGACAGAAGTGCCTTCGTTCGTCGCGTTTCTGAACAGGTGTTGCTTGGCAAAACCACAGTTTTCTTTTATATCAGCCATTTATATTGATTATCTCGTGCGGATTTTCTAAGTGGGTTTCCCTTTTCGAGAAAAACATGACCTCAGTGTCCCAACTCAAGTTATCTCTTTTCTTTTGTTCATTTCCTGTTTTTAAGTTATTAAACTGTTATTACTGATGCCTCTCAAAATTTATCACAAATGCATTCAACTACCCTCTTATGCAAATTATTTTTGTATAGATAGGCCTATTAGTTCAGTGATCGATATAAATTGCTAACAAGAAGAAATAAAATCTCGCCACATTTTCGGCAGTGCTCTTTTGAAAAACAGTTTAAGAAGCCTACAGTTTGTTAAGACTGACAGAAAAAAGATCAGCCGTTGCCTTAAAAATCAATCAATCACTGGCATGAAGCATTTTAACAGAGCATCCTAATTTAGCAACTGACGGTGAGGGCAGCACACTTGAAAGTCAACTTTGTACCTCTCCAGGGCTCCGCGGCCAACCTGCCTGCCTACTCTTCAAATAATTTATTAACACCGATAAAATGTCGATTCTGAACGGTACGACCCAGGCCAACTTGTTACGGTAATCAGGACCTGCACATCCGTGGTCCGGGAAGGGCTAAAAATATCAGCAGCTGCCGACTTACGGGCAAATTAATCGGTTTTTAATTGGTTCTCTGGCGTCGCATGGCACGAATCCGTCTCGAACTCGCCTCATTAAGAGATGATAACTTGGCGATACGTGTTGTCGTTTAACAACATTCCCAGCCGAAGATAGTTTTGTGTCATTCGCCAAATAAAACAGGAAAACGAGCGCAATTGAAGATGAGCTTTTTGCACAAAGAAGTCACGAAGCACTTAAGACTTGCATCTCTAACTCCATCGAGTAATCACGAGCAGCTGTTTTTCTTGTACATGTACAAGCACGGGTGACGATATTTTAAGGGTTGATTACTTTTCCACTGTCATTTGCAAAAGCACGAATCGTCTTAGTCCTGGACTCCCGGATATGATTAACATGGTGGTGGATATCCACGAGTTATCGCGGTGGATAATTCATGTCAATTTTTCTCTTGACGCCGCCAGGGCTGGCAGTATGTGTGGTTCCAAATTCGTAACACTGGGGGATCTACGTCGAGGGCAACGACTTAACCTCCCCCAGGAAGCCCCAAAGAACCACCCAGTCTTACTAACATGGCCGTTACATGCAGGTTGCGAGGTGACACCCAGTATGGCTGGGAATGTCCAAACATTCCTGGACAAACACGAAACCCTGGAGACCGGTCTTTCATGTCCGGATACAAATGTCGCTCACCCTCTGATGTATTTAGAACGTACACACGGGTTTCCACACCTAGTACCTACGGACCTGCCAAACCCTAAAGCGATCATCAGAAGCCACTTAGGCAGACAATAGCATTTGAGCAATCAGTGGGCAACCAGAGGTCATCGACTCAAATTCTGTTGCATATCTTAATGATAGCTCCGAGTTATTCAAACTCATTAAGACCTCGGCTATCTGCAATGTTGGCAAGTGTTCAATCAACGAGGTTAAATACCGTTATTCCCCATTGTCGCCATTTCGTACCCAAGTGTCGACACTTTTTCAGTTTGTATTGAACTTGAATAGTAATCAGTGCGATTATTAGCAAATACATGCAATATTAAATATCGATGTCGTTCAGGCCGGAAAGATATCCTGCAGGGAAGCTACGCCAGAGCTGAACTTTGGATGGCCGCTCTTGGCACGTGGTTGCAACTATTTTGGTAACGGCTCACAGACAATCAAATTTCATCAGTGAAAAGTAACCCCTGCTCACTGGTTGACGTTTTTCACTCATACTCGTCACATTTTAAAGCTGTGCCATACATGTTCATAACTGTTCCCCATGTCCCAGCGCTGAGCATATACCAGTTGAGTTAAAGACTAGTTAGAAAGCAACTGTAATTGCATACACTATCTACTAGCCTTACATTATACGTAGGCTTCTTTGTGAAGAACGTTCTTAATTGATCGATCATTTAATTTAAAAAAAAAGTAAAAATCTCCCTTGTCCCTCTCCATGTTGGGCGCACCACTGTTGTAGGCCAAGCACTTTTTCTGGAGACAGAAAATTTGTATTTGTGATGAAGCTTTACAGTTCAGAATGTCCACATTTTTAAAGCTTGCAGAACTGGAATGACCTGCTATAGGCGTACGCTGAAGACGCCGGCAGGTGATATCGCTACCGGTGCGTCGGCAATATCCATCTCCCAGGTGTCGGCGATGACGCTGGTCCGCCACTTTTTCCGACAAGTTCCACCTTTGCCAGCCCGTTCTGCCGCAAATTGACGGCAGTCAAAATGACCCACAACTGCCAACTAAGCGATGATCGAAATCGAAATACCTTGAATAGTATACTAGAGGAAAGAACTCAGAAAAGAGCTATTAAAAAACTAAATGGGGTAAAGGGGTAAAAATCACCAAGTTTCTTTTAAATACTCCCTAAATTTGACCCCTTCCACCGCTAATGGTTTATCAGTTTGCTGCTGATGAGTGCCCCCTCGGAAAAATTCTGCTCCTGGAAAAATTCCCGGCAACGCCGCTGCGAAAAGGGCTGTTCGACATCAATGAAATGTCGCATATTATCAGTCAACTCCTGATAGGCCTATGTGGATGCTAACGCAATGTTAACAGTATTAAGATCTCAACCCAACAGGGTAAGCTTATTAAATAGCTCTGTCTTTATCTCCAGTGAAAAGCAATCTACTTTTGGTTAGGGCACGGAGGTGAATCAACATTGTTTTCGTGTCGGAAGCGAATCACGCATACGCCTATCTGCCTTCGCGAGAAAGATCCCTGACACGTACCCTCCATGCCTGACCGTGAAACAAAGAAAACAGTCCTACCCTTTTATCTTCAACCTACCCATGACAAGCAGGCAATGAGGCACCGTCTAAGGAGAGACCAACAAAATCAACATGTGTCAACATTTCCGTCGGAAAACCGACACCAGTCTTGCTATAACACGACCGTGATGTGATCACTGAATTGCTGATCTCAGTGCGCGTGCCTCACGCTGGAACCCTCCAACGCAAGGTCCATTCTGCCTTTTCTGGTAGATTTGTTTTAGCGTTTCCATCTTTAAAAACGTAAACCGCCGGCCTTCGATTCTTGTTCCTTGCGAGGATTCAAAGGAGCCAGGGTTGGGGGTCACCCCCTTGCTTAGTATAATATCTGTTGTGATTAATTGTGTTAATTGTAATTGACACTGCAACTTGTTCTGCCGCATTGCAACGATTTTGCCTTCGTTTTGATATGTTACGGGAGACATGACGAGACACCAACGTTCATGTTTACCGGGCTGGTTAGTATAGGCCTATTGTCATAAGCCTTTTCCGAGTTAAATTTGAATAAAATCTGGTACACTGAGTTCTTAAATTCACGTGAACATAACAATTTGAAATTCTCCATACTAAAACCACTGTTGCTATACCTCGTGATTCAGGGCAAGCTTTTGCTTAAACCTCATTTACATAAGAGACACCTTGCAACTATATACTATTTTCAATGCGTAAGAAGGGCACAAAAGATCAGTCCATTCCCGATAGAGATGGGGGTCGCTATGCAAAAGCTTGCCCCGAATGATGAGGTGTAGCAACAGTGTCTTTAAGTCTGGGGAATTCAAATTGTTAAGCTTATGTGCAATTAGATAACATAGTTTACCAGTTTTTTTCATTGAAGTTTTACTTGCAAATGGCTTTTATTGACATTTAGTCTGTAGCCTTCACCATAAAATGCAAACCAGTTTACCCCAGTTTTTATTTTCTCATCCGGATCAATGTGCAAAGAAACTCAGTAGATCGGTACCCTTCACTACCCCCTCCCCTTGCCACTTCGTCTGTATTATTGCTTGCTGAGAAGCAATAAACACGGCTGCAATTAAAGCAATGGAGATGCAATATCCTGTGTCCCGATAATTAAACACCCATAATCTACAGTGGCGTGTGACGTCTCAAGGAGATTAGCTCTTAACGGGCTGGTATTGGCATTACATGATGGGGTTCACCAGACTCTGCTCATGCACGCCGAGAGTGCATACTTGCTCTGTGCAGCACAATTATCTCATAAGCTCAGGTGGAAACTGCCCATGGCTGATTTCCTGTTGTTTTTTTGTGGACAAATGCCAAGCTTAGGGGACGAACCTTGGAACTGAGGGTAAGTTTGAAACATGGCATTGGCCAGTGACGGCAAATTATTTTCTGTTCACAACTTGGGTGGAGGGACTCCACGACGCAGTCAAAAAATGTTGAGTGAGGAAGCGGTTGGGAGTTGAGTTGTTGCCTCTAAGAAAGGGTTTCACCTTCGAATCCACCCCTCTTTATCCCTGCTGGGTTACGCAACTGCTACGGCTAGGGAACTGACAGTGTCAACTTGAGTTCATAGCGTTAGATAGAGGTTCTTTTTTTTACTTTGAGGTCCAAATGTTTGATCATATTTTCCTTCCTTACGGGTAAACATAGCCTTGTTTATTTTGAACGTTAAAAAATTGCAACGCATAGTTAATACTCAGTGAAGAATTTATAGTGGTTATAATTCAGTTCAGTCCCATTTCGACCTGATTTCGCAATTCAAGACCAGTCGAAATCTCCGACTTGAAGTCCACCTAGATTTACATAAACAGGGCTTTGTTTTTTTTTACACATGGATGTGACCACGTGACCGGTTACGCACAAAGTACGATCCGTACGTCGAATGAATTATATACTTTTGTTATTGACGGGGATAGAGTTTGTCAAGGGACAGTGATTATGCACTGCAGCCATTCACTAGCAGCTAACAAGGCACCCACCGGTTGGTTACGGCATAAAAGACCGCTGACCATTTCGGAACCACTAAGTTAAAAGGGAGGTTGCGAATAAAGGGTTCGGCAATCTCGTAAATACGCGCCGGTGTGACCAAATCCGAGAAGCGATATTGTGTCCCTGCTTAATGCGTGTCTACTCGTGCGTTACATCTCTCCTACTTATCACGGGGGCTGAGCACACATACGTGTATGCGCTAATCGATCAAATGCAGAGCGCCAATGCTCGGTAACAAACGAAACTAAAGCACTGACGGGCGATGAACGTCAGTTTTTATTGGTGTTCGATGAAAGTCCTCCATACTATTGATCTGACTGTCTGATACGAACCACATGACGTCCACTTGTTTTCCTTTCCCCTCTGTCTTGCAGGTGGATTAACTTTGAGCCCGTGTTATCTTTGTCACTGAAGACGCTTGGATTTAAAGACTGATGTGTTTGGGTGTATGAAGACATCTGATGTGCCCATCACGTGCGGCTTCATGTATGTGGCAGGTGCAACGAGACCTCGATGGCTGCACGGGAACACTTACCTTGATGAATAGCGGTCAGCGGACAGGAAGCAAGGAGGAGAGCGTTTAGAGAAATTGAGACTGAAAATAACTTCGGTGTTGACCATGGTGATGGATGGCTCTATTACCATCCAGCGCCTGCTATTAGTGTCTTCGTGTGGGCTTAGGCCTATTTGCTGTTGATATTTGTATTGCCTTAGTACAGTTGCAATATTAGCGTAACAGTACACTGCACGGTTGGGCAGTCAAAACGACAATAATTACAAGAAGAAAACCCCAACACAATTATTTAACCTGTGGACCCCCATTATGTGGCGGAACGGCCAAACTTCAAAACTTCAAGCCGAGCACACAACATCGGCACTCTGCCTGCTGTAGCAATAGGATTTTGTGTTGGAAGTTTTTGTTTGTTCAGCTCTCGAAAGATCCAGCACCTATTGTAACCGCTTGGGTTCGTTATCGTCCGCGGCGGTGTTTTCCCCGATATTCTCCCTGTGTGCTGGGCTTTGAAGGACACCCACTGTCTGAACAAGAAGTTTGGCGAAACCTTTGTCAACCAATTCGGGAGCCATACATGTATCGCCGGTCTTGCCTAACGGTAACTTTGTTTTTTGTTATCAAACTTGGAGAGTTTTTGCGATCACTCACTCTGGAGTCCTGGCGAGAATCCGGGAAGTACTGCGCAGTAACTGTACTGCCATTACGCAGTGTGGAGCTAGCTCGAACCAGTGCAGGTTGGGCTGATAACCCGAATGAAGTTCTTCATGGTGTTCACGCCGACCGAAACTTTGTACTGACAATGATAAGCCAGCTCACAGCTACATCACACTATTCGCCAGTGTAACAGTCCAATTTGTTTTCGCTCAAAGTCATCCTGAAATATACTTATGAACAATGAATTCACGCTATTCTCGTGCCGCGGAGAGGGCATTTACCAAGGAGGACAAGGCCTTGCAGAAGAACGTCTTCGCCCGTCGAAATCTGGATGCCGACCTGGAGGCCCAGCAGAGCCTGGAAAAGATCCACCTGCAGACCATCCGAAGCGAGAAGGTGCGACTGCAGAAGGAACTGGAGAGGATGCGGGGCAGAGGACAACGGATGATGGGGAAGCGGCCGGTGGTAGGGATGAGCAACAACACCACCCGGCTGACCCAGCTGCGGTTGACCCGGGAGCCTGCCGTCATCAACGGGGGCACCAGTCGTGTTGTCCGTGCCGCATCCCCCGTGCCAGGTGCCACCGGAGACCCGAACACGGCTAGGGTACCCCAGGAGGCGGTGGGACGAGGTCGGCAAATCCTCGAGTTACCGGCTATCAACCCTGGCAACCGCAGCTCCCGCAGTCCCCGGAACGGTTACCGTTCCAACCGCCACGAGATGGGGGAGGAATACCTCCGGGAACAGCAGATGCTGGAACACAAGAAACTCATGAGCAGGAAGCAGGAGGAACTCCTTGCACGGGTGGAGAAATTCGGGGAAGACATCGGCGCACAGAAACTTCGGGACGGTGGTGAGCCAGCAACCCACTCGCCGACGGAACGCAGCGTTAAGAGCGACGACGCCATTGCAATCAACGCGGACCCTAGCTCCAGTTTCCCCCCTCCACGGAGGACAAATTTCGGCGAGGTGGCCAAAAGGGGGAGGAGCAACTCCCTCTCCGAGTACGACTTGAAACACATTAAGGAATCCATCACTAAGAGACTCGTTGGGGAGGAGACGGCTGGTCAGGCCAACGATTCCGGCGTCGCACAGGAGAAACAGCAGATCAACCGGACAATTTCCACGACGTCCGGCCTAGGTAACCTGATGCCCCGCAGGAAGAACCATTCTACGGGGAGTGGACCCCATCCCATGGACATGGTGTTTGACCAGGAGACTTACGCCCCAGACGGCAGCCTGCGGACAATGCACATGCTGCCAGACCCCAAGGACAGTTTTGAGGAGGCCAAGAAAGCGAGGTACCTCCGCTGGAGGGGGCCCCACGAGGAAGAAGTGGAGCTCACGGTGAACGAAATATTCGGCAAGAGCGAGGGTGTGGTCAGTAGAAAATACAGCACTTCAGCCCCGACTGAAGGTGAAACCGGGACATAAAAAAAACTTTCTTTTAATTAAAAGATTAAAAAAATCTTTGTTCAATGTTAATTTGTTTTATGACAGTTTTGACTAAGTTATATTTGCACTTCATGCAGTTTTTGGAAAAAAGGGGAAACTGTTCTATAACTTCGAAGTAATAAGACAAATTTCTGCTAATGTGACTCATGATGATCTCCAACGATATTTCCGTTATTAGGAATACACAACTTAGTTTTTGAATCTTAGGTGTTCTGAAGCAATATGGAAACGATATTTGGAAAGTGGTACGTGTACATGTCTTTTTTTAACCAGGGGGCTACTTTTCGTGTTCAGAGGAAACTTCTTGTGTGGGCGATATAACAGAGCTTCCGCAGAAGAGCGAAATTCAAAACAGACACTAAACTGTATTGCTAGATAATTTCAGAATGTATTCGAAATAGCCCCTTTTTCAATATTTTTGGTTTTTCTCAAAAGTGTAGAAGAGTCCTTGCTCGGGCAACGGATTTTCCTGACATAAAAAGATCTGGTGCCTGAACAATGTACCGATTTATCATTCTCTATGATGAAACAGGAATCGATACAAATGGATTTCTCGAGCTCTTGTACTTTTGAGCAATTACTAGTCAAAAAAGCAACGCTCGAAATATCCTTTTTTTGTTGTAATTTGAAAAGTAGAGTTGGTTGCCTGAACAATGTATCGATTTATTATTCTCTATGATGAAACAGGAATCGATACAAATGGATTTCTCGAGCTCTTGTACTTTTGAGCAATTACTAGTCAAAAAAGCAACGCTCGAAATATCCTTTTTTTGTTGTAATTTGAAAAGTAGAGTTGGTTTATACAGCCAATATATTCTCCATTCAGCACAGCCGCAGACTGGTCTTAAAAGTCAGTGTAAAATTCATTGTGCACAATATGCATGCGGAAATAGTGAACACGCATACGTAAGCCATGCATACCTCTTTGAACGGGTCATGCTAAAGGTTACAAATCCTATCTGTATGCATACCTTCAAGTGGTTAACTAACTTTTTCGGTTTTCTTTGGGCAATATTAACTGTGGGACTGGTGCGTGCGATTTGTATATAGACAGTCGGGGAGTAAGTGGAAGAACATACATAATTTCAATGGGCGGAAAAACATTTCAAAAGCAGCATTTTGCTTTGTTTCAAAGGGAGTGCAGTTTTTTCATTGAGATTTGCTCCGTTTTAGTTTTTCAGTTTCTGGGGTGAAACCATCATTTGGAACTAAAGATTGACTTTTATGTCAGTATTATAAATGGAGAAAAACAGGTTGGACATTTTGAACCTCAAATGTTTTAGTCATCGTCTGAGGGACAGCAAAAGGGGTCCTTTTCTTTGAAATATTTTGTTTAACACAAACGGGTTTCACTCCGAAGTAAAGGTCTGTTTCAATCATTGCAGATGATTGTTAAAAACGAACTTCATCGAATGTACACGTGTATTGGAATTGTTTTTGATAGTCTTTGTCATTGTCGTTTATAATTCAAACATTTGCAACGCTGGAATTGATGGCGGTGATATTACATGGCAATGATGACGTCATGATGAATAGCGTGGAAGGTGGTGATGTGGGTGTGAGCGTGGTAGTGATATCAAAATAGTTGGGGTGACCATTTGCCTTTTTGATGCTCGGCGGACACAACAGGAGGGCGCTACTTGAAGTGCATGGGTAAACTTGGAGTAAACACAAAAGATTTTACCCAAACCAAATGGCGCCCTCCTATTGTGTCCACATACCTCGAAATAGGCTAAGGCTGTTTTCCAATACTCAACTTCGTCTCCGTCGGAGGCTTCATTCCCAAAACCAAACCCCGGTTGTCCACCTGAAGCGTTTAAATAACATTGGATTACTTTAATTTTTGGCTGTCTTTCATCTTATTTGACGTTCTGTGTTAAGTGTCATTTACCAAAAAAAAAAAAAAAAAAAAAAAAAGCCGATGGTAGGTACCTCACTCAGACCATGCTCAGACTATGTGCTGGGTACTACATCATAACAGAACAAACAGGAAAAAAACAGAAAATCGAAAATACATATCTGTATAGTGAATTTTTATCATTGACGGTGCAAGAGAAACAGATCAAGGGGCGGCACAGTCTGGCAACACTCGCCTGCTTATTCATTGATGGAAAAACATTTAGTACAATTTCGCTTGCTTTCAACTGCAGAATCACTTGATAACAGAAATCCTTACAAAAGACATGCATGTCCCACTTGTATTAGATTAATCTTCTTGCGTCACGCCAACAGATCTGCTCCCCCAAATACAAGCACAAAACTGGCCAAACAAAAGCAAAACAAACAACACCCCAATAGTTCTTTGAATTTCAACAACACAAAATGACAGAGAATCCACTGGATGTCGAATCAGTAAAGATTTGAGTTTTACCCTAATCACGTCCCAAAAGCTGTATACAGCCTCTGTATCAAGGCGCACTCCATTCAGTTTTGTTTTTATCTCCACGTAACCCACGATACATTTAATTTTGGCAAGACCGAAACTTCATGTTGTCATTTATATCTAGAGCCTTACTGGCCCAAAATTTTGTATCCGTACTCGAGTTACAAAAAGGGACAAGGGAAAAAAAGTCACCCAAAAAATTCACAGAGATACGTCGCTGTTTTTTCGATTGAGATCACTAGGCAGACATGGACCCCAACACGGTTGAAATCGGTTTTATTGTCGAAAATTTAAGAAATTAAGATTATGAATAAAAAAGTGATCCGTGTATTCAACCCAGAAAATTGCCTTGAGAGTTTTGCGCTCACTAATTTAAAAANTTGGGAGGCGAAAGAAGAAATGGTTGAAGCTAGGTATTAAAAAAGAATTTACTTTCAGGCTTTCCCTTATGATTCTTTAATACAGGAGTCATGAAGATTAATTGAAACAAAATGATATTAACAAATCAGGTTCAAGGTTTTATAGGGACAGAGGAAACTACCCAGCTCAGCAATCAAGCCAAAGTTTAAGCCGGGGGAAGCTACCGTAAAACCAATCAAAGAAGAAGCTTCCTTTGGTGGGGGCTTGCTTTTTTAATTTGTCAAGTTTATTTCACAAAACCCATGGTTTGTAGATTGTAAAATTTCTCCTCAAATCTCCTTTTTCTTGAAGTACATTTATGCTCTCAACATATTATTGACATATTCTTTGCTTTTGAAAAAGAATTTAGATAAGTAAGACTGGAGATTTAAAAATTTATCTTTCAACAGATTTCAGGAAATACAGACCATGCTGTTTTGTTGTACCCCACACTGCTGCTCAGTCTAAACCCTCCACTATGGCAGAGAAATACATTTTTCCAGAGAAAGATGTTCTGATTGCAAGGTACAGGAGCAGATTCAATAAACCTTGAGATTTAAACCCTGCCTGTTGTAGAACTAAAATGAGTGATCAGAGATAGGATCTTAAATGTAGATTCCTTTAAGTTTTGAGAAATGGCAGGAAAATTTGGGTGGTGTTCTATCTAAGTTTGAAAAGAGACATATTCTTGACCAAGTAACTTGGGTGACGTTTTTCCCTTGTCCCTTTTTGTAACTCGAATACTGATATAAATTTGAAGGCCAGTGAGGCTCTAGATATAAATGACAACTTAAAGCTTCGGTCTCGCCAAAATTAACGTGGGTTACCTGGAAATAAAAACTAAACTGAATGGAGTGCGCCGTGATACAGAGGCTGTATACAGCTTTTGGGACGTTATTAGGGTAAAACCCAAATCATTACTGATTCGACATCCAGTGGATTCTCTGTCATTTTCTTTTGTTGAAATTCAAATAACTATAGGGATTGTTGGTTTGTTTGGTTTGCTTTTGTTTGATCAGTTTTGTGCTTGTATTTGGCGTGATGCAAGAAGATTAATCCAATACAAGAGTGACACGCATGTCTTTTGTGAGGATTTCTGTTTGAAAATATCACGTGATTCTGCAGTTGAAAGCAAGCGAAATTGTACTAAATGTTTTTCCTTCAATGAAATAAGGAGGCGAGTGTTGCCAGACTGTGCAGCCCCTTGATATGTTTCCCTTGCACCATCAATAATAAAAATTCACTATACAGATACTTCGCTGTTTTTTTATTAAGATCACTAGGCAGAAATGGACGATTGAGCGAAATAGTGCCGTCTGTTGACTCTCGGAGGAGGTTTGTCTCCCGTTTTTTAGCCATAAATTCCAGATTTTGGCCAGTTGATCACTTTTTGTTTCAATTTATGGGCTTTAGTCACGATTTTGTTTTTATTTGCCTTTTCCCAAAGATATATCGAAAATAGTAAAACTGTTCGCCCAGCTCTCATTGTCTTCCAAATAGGCCCGCAATTTTGGGCTTTTTGTAAAAGAAATAACCCGAACTGAAAACTACCAGTACAAAATTCGGGATTTATAAAAAGTTTCTGTGGTCCATCCTGATTATGGCATGTTTTATTGTATACAGTCCAAACAGATTTCATTAACTAGTATAAAGTTAGCAGAAAACATATCAAATAATTAAATTAAATTTAACACTATAGTCAACTTGTTATTAAATTGCTCTCTTGGTTGTGAAAACTGGGTTTCCACAGAAAACTTT